CTATCCTTCCTGCTGCTGCTGCTGCTGCTGCTGTCATGCATGGTTGTTATTTCCGAACCCTAACCCTAGCCTTTAATGTGTTAGGCTTAGCTAGCTTGATTTTTATGGAAAAATCTTTGATCTTTTCTAATTGGGTGAGGTTCGTTAAATACATATTTGATCTTATACAATGAGAAACTTTAGTTCGCTCACATAAAATATCAATCGGAATAATTAGTAATTGCGTTACATGTAAAATCTAAAATGCATAACATGCAACGTTATATATATGATGCAAGGATTCTTTTCTTTTTGTTTAGGATAGCTTAATATTAAGTTAATTTTCTAGCAAACCTGGGATATTTGCTGTTCTTCACGGCTTTTTGCCCATATTTCCTCCACCTATATCCATCATCAAGAATATCGTCTGCACTTCTAGTTTGGAAAGCAAATCTTGGCCGGGTCGGCGCCTTTTTCATTCTCCCCCCTTTCTTCTCATCTTTATTTCCCTTCTCTTCCCCTGCTCCATTTTCAGCCACCATAGAAGCACTTTCCATTACAGGCCTCTTCTCGCCGAGCTGGGATTGGCCAGAGAGAAGGCCAGCCCAATCAATATCCGGAAGGACTTGAGGTTCAATTATAGAAGGGTACGGCAATGAGGAGGATGGCAATAGTAAGGGTGTAAGGAGATAGGAAGGGTTTGGGGATGGCGCCAGTTGTGGCAGTTGTGGTGGTGATGGTGGGGCTTCATGGCCTTCCATTAATTGTGGGGCTACAAAGAGAATGATCAGAGGGGAACTGAGAATGTTTAATTAAGATGAAAACATAGAAGAGGTCAATAAAAAGGTAATGGAAACTGGGAAGGTGAGAAGAGGTTGGACAGACCTACGAGTAGAGCGATGAAGATGGTTTGCTAGATTTTGAAAGGAGAGTCTGTTTCAGTCTCAATTTCCCTCTCTTGAAGCCAAGGGTAAAGCCAACTACATCTCACCTACTTCTGTTTACCTGCCCTCGAGTGGAAAGGGAGACGTGCCCAACTGATGCATATCGTTATCTCCAATGCACTATAGCATGCATGGCATGCATTAGACTTGTTATTGTGGTTAAGATTGTGGTAAAGTACAAAAGTTAATTTATTTTGTTTTTAAAATTTTTTTTGGTGGGTCTCACGTTCAAAACTCAACTTCCATCTCCAGAATAAACACACACTTAATCTCTTCCAGACTAAGAAAACCTCAATTAAAACACGTGGAAATTTCCCTCCAGGTAATGGATATGTTACTATTTACCAACGTATTTATTAGCTGTTACTTGTTAAAAATATTTTATTTTAAAATATATTAAAATAATATAATTTTTTTAAAAAAATATTTTTGATATTAGTATATTGAAATAATTTAAAAATACTAAAATAATTAATTTAATTTTTTAATTTTTTTTACATAAACAAACAAAGATGGTCGTGATATGCTGCGGGTTGGTCTTTTTTTTTAATATTTAAAAAATATTAAGATGAAGCAAGCATTACAAAAAAAAAAGTGAAAAAAAAAGTTCGAGAGATGAGTTAACAATTGGGTTTAATAAAGTCGACTAATTTAAATAATATAAATTAAAAAATACAATAACAATAAATAAACTAATAAAAAATTGACAATGTAAAAAGATAAAAAAAATAAAAATAAATCAAGTCCATCTGAATTAAACTATTAAGCTCATTTATAAAAGAACTCAATGTCCATGGCAATACTAAAAAAAAAATTAAGTAAAAAACAATAATAAAAAGAATTATGTCAACTTGGGTTAACCTGCTAACCTCGTAACTATGAGTATGAAATTAGAATAATCTCATAAAAAAAAGAAAAAAATACAAACATTAATTTTTAATAAATTAAATATTGAAGGATAAAATTAATTTTTTTTAAAAAAGAAACCTAAAAAATAAATCAAAGTTAAGTAGCATTTAACCTTTGAAACATGTGACTTTGATCATGAATCTAGTGTCAAAGACTAACCCTACAAAATAATAAAGTAAAATTATAAATCAATAAAACATTAGGGGACAAAATTGAAAAAAAAAAGAAAAGGTTCAGAACAAAAGAGAGCAATAAAAAAATAAAAATTAAATTTGATATAAAAATTAATTTAAAATAAATACTGAGATACGAAAATAAAAATAAAATTCAATTAAAAAAGAATAAAAATACAAATAAAAATTAAAAAAATAAAGACTAAATTTGATATAAAAATTAAATAAAATAAAATAATAAGAGGTGAAATTGAAGAAAATAATAATATTAAAAATAAAATAAATATTAATAAAAAATAAAAAATAAATTGGATAAAAAAATACTGTATTTTAAGATATAAAAAATTAAAAAAAAAATAATGAGAGCTTAAAGAATCAAGCCTATGCACGCTTAGGCCTAAAAGGATGGTCCATGCTCTTTTAGGCTTGCAATGTAGGTTCACATGCCCGGGTTTTGGAACTAAGATTAGTTTTTTTTAAGATGTTCATTAACACGTTTGCTTGCAACCATTGGCGGCCACCGAAAGTGCCTTCAATGACAGGAAATAGGGAATTCAAGTTTTTGGATCCAAAAGACCCAAATTTCAACCCTTTTTCATCAAAAGACATGGGAAAAAAAATTCATATGAATCTCTAAAAACCCCATTTCCAACCACAAAACATATTGTAATAAATTGAATACTCAAAATCAGATCAAAAATATTTTTGATCTATATTTTCCAGCATAATTAAAGTTTGAAACCACTTTCATTGAGTTCTTTTCTAAAAAAAATTCATAGACACCAAATGCGAGTTGTTGAAATTTTGTCACCTAAGATCTCTTTCTCTCCTCCACTATTTTGATAACTTTCTTTATTTTCTCTTAGCCTTAAAAGACAAAAACATGAAAAATAGTAAAATTTTAGATCAAATTATAATAATATAAAAGAACCAAGAACCAAATAAAATAAATAAATTTTAAAGAATCAAATGAGAGTTGAGGGAACCTTTTATGAAAAATGCTATGTTTCTTCATTTATGTTAATTTTGATCCCTTATATCTCAATTTGTTTTTTAACAATAAGCTAAAACTATATTTCATAAAATTGGTTATTGATTTAAAGTACAGCGCATCAAGTACGTGAGAGAAACCAATCCGGAAAAGATGTCAACACATAACATCATATTAATATAATTTTAAAGGGTTAAATTGAAAAAAAAGTACAGACCAATAAAAAATTCGAAGACCTGAAAAGGGAAAGAAAAGAAAAGACAACAAATAATGGCTCAGCAGCCTCAGCCCATTAAACAAAGAGATATATATTTGACTCCTAAGCTTCGGAGGCCCCGATTTTACACGCGTAACACTCTTAATCAGTCCGAATCCAAGAAGAAGAAGAAAGCACACCCACACACACCCCTGCAACGAGTCCGTTCTGAATTGTTCACCTGCAAGGACTTCGCCAATTTTCTTACTGGTACTATGAGAATTAATCAGTTCGGCCGGAAAACAGTATAATTCCACTTAATGACTGATAAAACTAACAGTCATGCAAAGAATAAACGTTTATGAAGGTGTTCTCCACAAAGAGATAATTACTCGTTGAAAGTGAACTACCATGTATAGATGACGCGGAGAAATCTTATTGCAGAAGAGCAGGGCATCATCATCATCATATAAAAGTAATGGGCACATGGATATTGATAATTTATTTAGAATAGATGGCATTTAAAATCCCAGAAAAACACCAAAATTTGGAACACTGGACGGGAATTCACGGGAATTGAGCAGCCTATGCTAAAAATCAAGTGACCATTCCTGAGGGATATCAAAATTCCTTCTGCTAAGTGAATGGCAAGTGTTGAATGCAAAACAGAATCATAAGCAATCCATCCGGGTTCTGAAACAAAGTGCATTTGGACCTCACTGTCTTCCAAATCAGCTGATGATCATCTTGTTGAGATACTCAGTTTGCTCAGGAAAATAGCCCAGTAGTTCATCCTTTGTCACCCAAACAAAGTCTTCACACTTTCCAATTTCAAATTTGTTCGTTGCAGTCACCTGGGACTTGAAAAAGAATCGCTGGAAAAAAAAAGTTGCGAGCAAATAACATGGGCAATTAATAATCAGCAATTTAAATGAAGCAAAATATCATACCACTATATAAATTATCTCCGCCTACCATCAGCAAATCACATGTAGGCAGATTTACATGTTTGCTAAAAGTGGCAAAGGAACACTCATAGTGGTATGTGATATCCTAGGTGTGTGTTTTGTTTCATTATTAAAAGGAAAAGCTACTGCTTGATGCACAAAATTTGCACTATTTGAGATATATACAGTGAGATATGACGATTCTTTATTTTAAAAAAGCATAAATTATTTATTAAACATGAAAAGCATACTCTCTACTGCATTCACATTCCAACAATCCTACCTTGACTTGTTTCTTGAAATCTCTTATCCAGGGCAAGAGTACATTCCATTGATGCACATATAGATAGTTAAAAAATTAACAGCAAAATGTCTTAGAATTTATCTTTAACACTGATATCAGGCAGTATATCTCCTAGTTTGATATTTTAAAAATCAAAGTTCCGTCTATATTTGCAAATAACTGTGTATTTTGATGTAACTAAGATGACTGTATCTTAATTCAGCTACATTAAGAAAGTCGATCCTTTTTTAACAATTAGTGTCAAAATTAATTTTTCGTTCTCTATTTTTTTTAACAATAAGTAGTGTCAAAATTAATTTTTCGTTCTCTATATTCAATTAACTAATGATAGTACAAGATAAAAGTTAAGTGAAAAAAATCTTCCATGGCCTTTATTTTTTCCATTCTGTTTTCCAGATGAACTTCCACCATCTTAAAGAAAAGAAGAATTAAATAATGGCATACTACATTTTGGGCACAACATATTTGTCATCCATACTTACTGCAGGTTTAATTCCAGAAACATACCTTGTAGCCAGACTCTTGTGCATCATCTGCTGGCTGTATGACCATATGACCCATAGGAGCATTGCCAACAAAATATGTGTGAGAAAGTTCACCTAAGACAGACTGTAATGCAGATTCTGCACACTGCAAAGATTTGGAATTTATTGAGAAAAGGATAAAACAGGGAGAGGAGGAAATGAATAATCACACAGCAATATTCACCTTCCGCAATGTTTCTTCAGATTCATAAACTTTTTCAGGGAAATGCCAGACAGGCTTGTCACTAGGAGAGCCATATGCTTTTCCATAAAGAAGAAGATAAAGTTTTCTGTCAAGTGCCCTCTGTAATGACCTATGTGAAACAAATTTAGAGGTCATTATCATTAGAATCCTGATTGTTCCTTAGAAATGAGTATCAGTGTAGAGCCCAGAAAGGCAAAATTCAATTGGGTTAACCCTTTTAGCCAACCAAAAAAAAAGAAGAAGAAATCTACTTACACAACTGGAACAAATGTGAAATATACAAGCTAATACACTATGGCAAGGACATGCAACTATGGCATTCAGCAAACAATCAGCAATAAGAAGCTACTGCTGCTTCGCTCATGCCCCATCTTTGCAACTTAAGATATTTACATCAAATAGAAGTATAAGAACAAACGAGCAAGCCTGCTGTAGCAAGGTTAATTAAATGCTGAAATTTGACAGGTCACATTAAGAGTATAACATAAAAATCTTTCAGAAGAAACATTGGCACAACTCAAGCAAAGGATATATTACTGGAGGAAAAAAAAAATCCATTGCCAATACTTTGAGTCGTATATGCACGCTTTTGTACACCTACCACATATCAAGTATTTGTTGCAAGACTAGCATGCCTCATGAACAAGAAAACATTTTAGAAACAAAATTACCACCAGATTATACCTTTTGTTAACATAAAAATAGCATACCAATGAAAATTTGGAGGAATAACTCCTGATTGAAAAACATGAGTTTTCAACTTATATCTA